CACATCTTGATAAATAGACTCTTCCCTTTTTCTCCTTCAAATTCATCAAAAATTCTATAATCTTATTGATCAAATAACTGTGATTAGTGTTATTGACCCATAGGGAATCTCCATAATTGATATATTTCACGAAACTTAAATGGGCTTCTTTCTTATTATCAAGCTCTTCATAAACAGCAGAATTTCTCTCAATTCTTTTCAAAAAATGCTCTTTAGCTTTTAAAAGATCCCAAAAGGCATAATCTTTAGATTTGATTGCAATATCTATATTTCTTTCTAACAAGAATGGGTCTGTAACAATACTTTCCAAAAAAAGTACAGTATTAGCTTTAGTATCCCCTTTTGTTCCTTTAGAATATTTTTCATTTAAATAATTTCTTTCTTCATAAGTTATATTCAATGCATCATAGATTGCAATCTGTGAGGAAGCATCATCAAAGAAGAAATCATCAATATCTTTCAAACAAGCATCAATAAATGTATGCCTATAAGCCATACCTTTCTTGTTTGTAGAATCAGCACATAAATATTCCAAATCTTCAATTCCATCCCCTTCAATTAAAGGAAACATGGCTCTTCTATAATCAGAAACATGGAAAATACGTGATTTTACTCCTAACCATCTAGTATATCTTGTCAATGCAACTCCTAATTTTGTTTTTGATCTTGCTGGTAAACCTACTAAAACGATAAGAATTTTACCAGCATGGAAAAGTCTCCCTGATTCAGTTGCATATAATTGTCCTGGAGATATATAAGTAGAAGATTGTTTAAAATGGACTTGATCTAAAAGTGTCTTTTTCTTTCTTTGCAATGTGCTTGCAGTATCTGTATGTGGCTGACCCAAAATTGCAGCAGCTGTATTAGGGGTGACTGATCTACCTGATGTTAATGACTCAGATGATTTTATTCTTTTTACACTTTCTAAAACACCAAATCTACTAGACTTTCTGGTTCTTGGTTGATGATTATCAGCTGCTAACTTGAGTTGATTTGACATTGTTTTTTTAATAGATTCATCAGACATTTTAAATAATATAGGTAATAATAATGATAAACAATTAGTGAATGCTATCTATTATATGTATATTATTCTTTTTGGTTATAACATAAACTTGATCTTTTAAGAACAAAAATCATTTGTCTTATGATTCAAGTGAATAAAAAATATGACTAAATATGATAGTATGTATTTACAATTTTTTTTTAACCCTTTTTAATTTTTATGCATTTTTTTTTTGTAACTTATCGTAATTGTAATTATATTTTAATTTATTTTTTAGAATTTTCGCTCCATCTTCTTCCCCCTATTGAAAAAAACGAAAACAATACGTGATACAATTTTTTATTTTTTTGGTGATGTGTGGCTGGCTAAAGCATATCTTTGACTTCCACATGATTGGTTAACTGGAAAACTCCATTCCAAAAAAATAAAAAATTAGAATCGATCATATAAATGAATTATAATTGAATACTATAAATAGTATATATATATATATATATATATAATCTGCTTGTATTATGATATTTCAACCATTTGGTATACAATTCTTTTTCATCTTTCTTATCTAATATGAAAAAAAAACCAACCATTTCCGCTATCTTACACATTATTACAAAACTTCTTAATAGTGAAACAAAATCTAAGTTATAGTTACTCAATTTAAAAATTAAAACTCAATTTTCTATATATCAAACTGTATATATACTATATATAAACTGTTTTTTTTCTATTAACTTTCTTTTTAAAATTGTATATCTAAGAAAAAAAAAACATTGTCGTCCTTAATAATTTTTTTTTGTTAGTGGAAAAAAAAACATGAATGTATCAAATTTTTTAACAAATTTAAATGTTACCACCCTTTCTGACAATTAAATCCTTTCTGTCCTTGTCCAAATGTAACTTGGTAATGACAACCTTGGAAGAGTGAACGTTGACTGGGATAGTGGCAGCGTTAGATTTTTCCTTGGTAACACCTTCGACTTGGATGGCGTATTTTAATCTGTAAACAGAGGAGATCTTACCTTCAGAACCCTTCTTGGAACCTCTGACAATCTTGACGACATCATCTTTTCTGACTGGGATAGATCTGATACCGTATTCGGCTTGTAATTCCTTGGATAATGGAGCAGACATCAATCTTCTCTTTTCAGAAGAAGCAGCGGTGAAGTAAGCTTTTCTGGATTTTCTTCTGTCAGTAGAAACGTCTGTTTTAAAATAATATTGTTATTATAAGAAATAATAATTGTTAGTAAAGTTTATATTTTCTTTTTTAAAGAAAAAAATGTTCATATAATATGGTGGATTTCTGTTGATAAATTAATTTATTTTCAAAAGATTGGCTAACTTGCGATAATTTCATTTAATTTTGTTCAAATGTTGAAATATGAGGCTGTATTCAGTCAGATAACAGAATGTTGTAAGAATAGTGTATATTTGATATTCGGATCATCCATTTCTTCATTGTGTATTTTGATCATTATTTTTATTAGATAAAGTATATCCAAATTTATCTCATCAATTCATTATTTATAATTTTTGTTTCTTCATTTCAATATTCCATTTTCCATTAACATTATAATCTCTGTCATTTTTATAATCATAGTCTACCTATCTTCCAATGAAATAATACTCCGTAAACTTGATATAATCAACATCCATATGTTCATATGGTAATTAATGTTTCTATTCATATTTCCATCTACTTTTTCCACAATGTAAATCTTATATTCTATAACTTCCCTTACACTCAAAATTGTTTGTAATTTTTTCACATTTTTTATAAAGTATAAATCCATCACTACAAGCCGCTTAATTATCATATTTCCTCAAAGGTTGTATCTACATACCTAAAGATTGTTTGGCCATTTTTATTAATGCTTTTGGTTGGTGTAAATCCTTAGGTTTTCTTACTTTTTATAATAAATATAGTAATATATTAACCATATAAAATCTACAATATGAACTATTATAACTTTTTTGCAGTAGTAAATTTTGTTTAGGCTGTAACCAACTACAATAACAATATTATTTTTTCTACTGAAAAAAATATATATTTCTGTAATTTTTTTTTCAAAAATTTAAAAAAAAAAACAATTTTTTAATTCGTTCTAAATTTTCAGCCTAATATTTCACTCTATTTTTTTTAAGCCGCGTACTAAAAAATATTAGGCTGCACTTTTTGAAAAATATACAGACACAAGAATATATATATATACATAAATTTTATTACAAAAACCATTTATATTATGATACAAATAACATTTCCATGATCATTTTAAATGTTCATTAAGTATAAAACAGCTTGTTAATATTTGCAAATATGTTGAATACTCTTTGTTAAGCACATTTTTCCTTAATATTAATCTAGCAATTAACTTTGTGATTGTATTTTTATGCTTTCCATTTTTGGAATTTACAAAAAAAAAAATTAAATTTTGTGTGTTTTTTTTTTATTACATAAAAATTTCAACAAACAAAAAACAAAAAAAATCGTAAAAAAAGATAGATATATATTAAACAACAAAATTTCAAAACAACAATTAAAAAGAAGATATTATAAAATGATCACCAAGTTAGAGCTTACGAAACATAATTCTTATTTTTTTTTTTTTTGCATTCCTTTCTTTTGTTTTAGTTTAATACAATGAGAGGTTATAAATTTTCACTTTTTGATTACTCTGTTGTTGCAATTGCTGTTTTAGTATCAGTATATAATAGTCAAGAATTTTTTGGTCCAATGATTCAAGAAGATATTAATTCACAAACAAATATTAATGCTGGTAAATTAGATCAAGCTAGTTCTCTTCATGAAAGTATGAACAATATGCGTCTTTCGTCTGAAGAAAAACAAAGTAAGATTGCTGAACAAGTTAGAGATTTGAAAGAGAGTTTAACTTCTGATATCAACAAAGATTAAATTATGTGGTGAATAATAATTAGCGAAGATACCACACATTCATGTAAATAAATAATAAATGAAATTAGGTAATAAAAAAAATCATACACACACAATAAATAAATAAAAAATGAGTCACTTTTTTTTTTTAAAAAAAAACACATTTAATCAATTATAAAAAGCTTTTATAACAAAAATAAATAAAATATGAAAATAACCAAAAGTAAATTATATTAATTTTTTTATTTTTTTTTAAAGCAATGGCAGTTACATTTGGTGTTTTAGCAGGTATGGGAGTACTTACAACGGCTCCTTTTGTAGATATGTTAATATCTTCATGTCAAAAACTATATGGTGCTAAGCATGATAAAGATTATCCTGAAATGCACATTATCTCATTACCGGCTCCATTTAATCTTGAAGGAAAAAGTAATGATGATCTTGTCATAGAAACTTTAGTTAGAGGAATTAAAAATTTAGTTAAAGTTGAAGTTAACTTCATAGTAGTTCCTTGTAACACGGCACATTGTTATTACAAAGAAATGAAAGAAGCTGCTAATGGTATACCAATCCTTCATATAGCAGATGTTTCTGTTATGAATTTTAAAAAAGATAATAAAAATGTTGCAATATTAGCTACAGAATATACTCTGAATGCAGGGTTTTATCAACAAAAATTAATACAATCAGGAAAAAATGTTATTGAATCTAAATTTTTAAGAGAAACAACAACCGAACTAATTCTCACAATTAAATCAAGAGGATTTGAAGATATTGTTGTAAAAAAATTGTGGGAAAAAATAATTTCATGGGCTATTGAATTTAAAGTAGATGCTTTATTAATTGGATGCACTGATATCAGTCCTTTGATTAAAAATGAAAAATATCCATTTGATATTGTTGATACAGCAAAGAGTCTTGCAAATGCTGCAATTTTAGAATATATTAAATTTAAAAAAAATTAACTTTGTTATATAATTTTTTAAAACAAAAAATTAATAATTTATCTAAACATTTCATGATTATTTCTTTCTTTATAAAATCCATATAAACATTATTTTATCAAAATATCTGTGTTTTTTTTGATAATCACTTCAGATAAGCCCGAGCGGGGGTTCGAACCCCGATCGTGATCGCCGGAAGACCACATACTGCCAATTATACTACAAGGGCACTCACGTGATGAAAACTACAGACACAATAGTTCGAAACTCGTACTATTTTTGTTTTTTCTTTCCAGATTTTAGCTAGGAAAAAATTAAAAATGAAATTGTTTAGTAAAATAAAATTTATGCAGAGCTAAAAACCTTAGTTAAACATAAATTTGAATTTTTTTTTCAAAATTTGTATTTAAGAAATCTACAAAAAAAAAAATCATTACCCGGAAAAATGGAGAAAATATAACATTTTTAAACATAAAAAAAAAAAAAATTTTTTTATTTTTTAATCTATTCTTTAATTTTAAATATATATAAATACTTTAAAAAATTATTATTAAACAGAATTTAAACAAAAAAGTCCTAATATATATAACCAATAACATATATATATATATATAAAAAATTAAAAAAAAAAAAAAGAAATAGAATAGTATTTTA